CACGGAAGCTACACCACTCCTGCAGGTCTCAATGCCAAGATGGATGAGATGAGGATTCTCAGCGGGGCCGTAAGTGCTTCCCTCACACTGGCTGGAGAACACACCCATCCTAACTGGGCTGCTACCGTGCACGGAGCTTACCAATCCGGCCAGCGCGCGGCAGCAGAAATTATGAGCGGGACCGCAACAGGCTCTTCGAGTGATGCCAGCTACAGCATTTCCTCCGCAGGTGTTTTCGTGTCGGCATTGTTGTATAGGCTTGCCGAGTGCTTTTGAATCAGTCTGTCGCCGACAATAGCTGGCCAGCCTTGTCGAAACCTGGATGTGCACGAAAATTCACGGTTTTCAAGCAACACCGACATGGTGTTTCTGTCAATGCCGTCGCAACAGCTGCAGGTCCGTAGAAGCATACCAGCGCGTTGCCAGATTTTCAAGCACCACGAACTGAACGGTCTTTTCACCGTTTTACAACTTTGGGCGAAAAGTCTGATGTTCCAGCTTTGACTCGAGCTTTGCAAAGGCTGTGGCCTACATGGTTCGCCTCCTACATGTCCTGCTTGTCTTTGGAGCTATGACGTAGTTCAATGCTATGTGGCCTTGTTTTGTTGTGTGCTGGAACCCTAGCCGAGCCCCTGAATGCCTGAACCCGGAATGGATCTCCAAACTCCAAACCCTAAACCTTCTACCACGACTCCACATGATCCTCCGAGTTTTAAGATTGACATCGTCTGCTCAGTGGGGCGTGCGGGGTCATCCTGTTCAAACTGTCTTTAGGGCCTCATATTAGCTTTTGGCTTCAGTGCTGGGGAGCTTCCAAGCAGAGCGGCCGTCACTCCGAGAGGGCCATGTTTTGCGCACGATCGCTTTAGCAGATTGACCCTTAGTGAGGAGGTAACCTTTGGCTTTCCTCGGAATGCAATATAAACATTAATATGTAAGTTATATACTGGACATGTGCATAGATAGGCATGTATGTAACAGTATTTATGTCCACCTTCGTACTTATATATGTATGCAGCTACGAATGTATATGATATTTGTGCATACGTGCATAACACACATATATATATATGTGTAAGTATGCATAAGTACGTTCGTGCGTACATACATACATACATACATACATACATACACACATATGGATATAGGCAGCGACAGCCCTATAGCCCCCTTTATACAAAGCCGTAACGGCCCAAAGCCCTCAAGAGAATCCCGAGATGTGTGTTCGATTTGAGGTGCGGGGTCGAATAGATGTCCTGGAGGTTGCAGCTGCTGAGGCCGACAAAGAGGGTGGGCTATCAGCGCCTGAATTTAGGGGCATAAGCAGTAATAGTATTGCCTTATACTCTCGATATGGTTGTCTTATCATATGTAGTACCAAGATTGACCGCTTTGTAAGGTTTTGTATAATTTATAGGGGTGTAAGTGCTTGTACCTTACAACGATCAGGCATATCTTGTTCCTTGCGGGGTCATTCAATCAAGGATTCTGCTTTTGGGGGTTTACATTAGAGTCCCTTATCCTGAAAATCCCACTTGCTTCGCGGATTCCTCTGTTGTCGCTTCTGTGCTGAAGAGCAGTTGTTGTTTTTGGGCAAATGGGGCTGTAGGGCTTCAGGGGCTTGGGGTGGTTTGAAGCAGGGAGTACAGTTTGGTGTTGTGAGGTCGATGGTTTAGAAAGCATTCGATTGCCGCTTCCATGCTAAAGCCGCTTCTTATCGCATGAAAGAGGTCGTGCCAGCTGTCGCAGCTTGTGGTGCCAGTGCTCATAGGGTGTCTGGATGGTGCTGCGTGTGCTACTTCTCAAAATTACAAACCACAAGACATGGGAGATAATGAGACCTAGCTAGCACTCTGTGCCTGCAAGTTTGTTCCAAGCACTGCACCTTGAAATCGAATATTTTGTCATTTGCTCTTAACCGGGTTCTGAACATGGAGTTGGAGATGGTGGCATCTTGTGTTTGAAGGATTTGTGTCTCAGTTGCTACCATGGTGAGCTTGATCATCCTAATTCCCTTCGCAGCTGACGAGAACTGTGATCTGGATCAGATGTCCAGCACATTTCAAAGTGATCTGGCAGACTCATCGAAGAAGAGCCTCCCAGAAAATGTCTCAGCAGAGGTCAAAGAGATCAAGATTGTCCATAGCAGTGATACCTACACCTGCTCTGAAGAAGATGTGGTCATCGTGTTTGGCCATGGTGGCAAGGACAACGCGGATCTCACCAACAATCAAGGCCAGAGAGCTACAAGCAAGAAAACTCTGGAGATGCTGGAAACCATGAAGGCCCAGACTACTCGGCGGATTCTCTTCATGTGCTGCTACTCCGCTATGGAAGGTCATCTTGCTCACAAATGGAAGGCAAAGTACCCTACTCAGATGACGTTTGGAGGGCTGGCCGACATTGCATCTCTGTACAACGGCCCGACAAGATCAGGACTGTTCACAGGCGTCTGTAAGGCACTTACGGAAGTCTAGTCTACGAGCGGTCAGTGCGTCATCCGCAGCAGCACTGCAAGAGGACCCGGCGCGCGCACAGAAACGAGCCCAAACTGGGCCAAATCGCGCTTCAAAATGTCGGATGCAGTGTTTGGGTCTTAAGGGCTCAGGCCCCGTGGCTAGGAGGCTTATTGTTGCAAGATCCTGCGAGCACTCGTCAAGCATCTTCGAAGGAAATGCAATGCGTGTGAAACGAGGTTTCCGTCCAATTGGGAGCGGGTTAGTAGATTCTTTCAGGGTGATCCTCTGGAATTTGTGGGACTTGAAGTCTCGCAAATGGGTTCGGGCAGCAAGAAAGGAGAAGTTTGAAGTATGCTGCCGCAGAACCACAGATATGTTAGTCGCCCCTGAGACTGAGGACAAGATGCACCGGAAGCCTTCTGATTCGGTCTCTGCGGTTTTGGGCGACTCCTGACTTGAAGTCCAAGTATATCGACATTTGCCAAAAACATCTACAAGAGACGTTTGGATCCCCTAAGACTCTGGTGGGAGCGTGGTAGGAGAATCTGCGCCGAAACCCCACTCCTAAAGCCGTGAAGCCTTGTTCGCAACAGCCTTCAAATCTTTAACAACTTTAACCCTCAACCCAAACCCTCAACTCTGAAGCCGGACCCCTGTAAGCCGCCTGCAAGCCGAGACTCCAAGACCCTTCAGCCCAGAAGCTTCTTGAATTTTCAGCTCGGGAGGAGCTTCGGCAGCTACTTCAGGGCTACCGGATCTTCGCGACAACGCTGGAGGCAAGAAATCTGTCAAGCCTTGGGGTCTTTAAGACTTTAAGATGAAGGTCGTAATAATTAGTACATATTTTGCTACAAATTACACCTCTTCATTTTTGTGGCAGAGGCTTGACTTGCGTGGGCTTGAGGATTCTCGGATTGGGGGTTTAGGGCTGGCACTGGAATTCATGCTCTTCAGGGGCTTTCCTGCCTGGGCTTGGGATTGGATGCTAGGATATTGAGTTTGGGCCTGTGTTTTGTCTCAGTTTTTGCTTCATCTTCGAGGGAGTCGGGGTCGCAGGTCTGCAAATTGTGTCCGGGACCGATTCAAAACGAAACTCCCAAGACCTTACGCCCCACGCACTTCCATGCTACCAATGCGAAGCGTCGTGCCTTCCTAAGTAAGCTTATGCTCGTACATTGGGTCGGTCCAGGGTTGTGTTAGTCTTAGCAGGAGCGCAGAGCCAATTCTGGGGGCATTGTCTAGCGAGGGCTTTTAAGGCATCTCATATCCCAAAGCCTAAGGCCTCACCTGTAGGAGCCTGATTTTTTTTGCAGAGCAACTTTGGGAGGCTCAGCAATCTTGACTTGAGTGTTGGAAGGCTTGGTGAGAGACAATCTGTGGAACGTATAGTGCTTCTACTGTGCTCGAAAAGCTAAACTCCTTCTCGGTGTCGTAGTCCGTGCTAGTTAAACCGACAAACCACCTGCGGGTCCCAGTCTCTAATTTCAACACCCTAGACTGGACCCAAACACCAAGTACAAAACCCTGAATGCTAGCTGCACCCTAACCCTGCCAATTCATTCCCCGAGCTTACACGCAGGGACTGTTCTTCCTTCAGCATCCCTGTACTAGACTGAAGCCTGAAGCAGAACAACCCGACAAGTAGGGGCGCTGCCTCTCCACGCAGCTCGCGGCAGAACTGACGGGAAGAGATGCCTTCGTGACACTCGGCCAGGCTTGTGCTAAATTGCAAGGATTCTAAGAGAAGCTATGAGCAAACAAGCATAATCACCAAATGAAACATAGCAAAGTGAGAAGATACCCACCACAAGCCGATGCCATACCTTGAACCGCAGCAACGTCCCACACCTTGAAATGCTTCAAACCCGCACGCTGCTGGGATTCCCAGCCATAATCATAAAGACCATTAACCCTACTTGAAGAATCTGTGACTATCTGGGACTTAACAAACTTTGTAACCCCAAATTGTTGATTCCTGTGATGGCTCACGGCCAGTCTTGCTAGCTCTACTTACTCTTACTACGTCCGATCCCTTCCTTCCCTGAGCGCCCTTGTCCCGCTGAGAACCAAAATATTCCTGAAACCTAAAGCCCGAATACTGTCTAGCGCTCAAAACCTAGGTTTAATGTCTTCAGGGTGTAGGAGTCTAGAGTTGAGTTTAGGGTTTAGGGCCTGGGTTTAGGGATTGATCGGTGACAGCACGTGCTGAGGTTTGGGAACGAAGCCCGTGGCGTCTCCGACAGCGTGATCCACATGGCAGACAGGCGCAGCTGGGGCTTTAGAGCTTCTGGGGCCTCAAAGCTGATTAGAGGGGTTAGTTGTTAGGGTTTAAGGCAGCCCAAGACCCCTGGAATTCGATTTACCTACCTTTGTACGATGTAGGGCATTGTTAATGCCACATGCTACTAAAAGGGAGCTTGCGGGATCGTGGTTTCGGCCTGCCGGGGTCGAAGAGTGTTTCCGAAGACCGGATGTCAGGCTGCACTATTTAGTGCAACATGCCCCGAAGCCCTATGTTCTAATGATGAAGGGTTCTCGCTTGTGTTTAGCTTGGCAGCTGGGCAAGTACCCTTTGCCCCGGTCGGTATACATAGCAACGCCACTCTTTCTCTCTCGGACACCTCGCCAGGGTAAAAGGTCTCGTCGGGTGAAACATAGGTGGGCAGCTCCAGCCATGTTTATGGCGAGCCTCGCTCTCACCTGAGTTCAGGAAGGGGTGGCAACCCTCTTCCATGAACTAGGAGGTCTCTTACCTCCGGAGGGGTGCTACCCACTCCTAAGAGCTACTCTGCAGGAGCGGTAGCGACCAACTCCTCGGAGGGGCAAAAACCCACTCCTGCAGGCTGCCAGCAGCGAGCTCTGGTGTAGGAGTGGTGACCACTTCCTGCGAGGGGCGGACCCACTCCTACACCTGACCACAAGCAGTACGGCTGAAACTGGAGTCTCAGGAGGGTGCTACCCTCTCCTGCTTATGGTCTCACCATGCGGTTGGGTCGTCAAGACCCTGAGCCTCCGCATCATAGGTTTCACACTTCCAGCAGCATCTAGTAGCTTAGGTGAGGTAGTACCCTCAACCGGAGGCTAGACTTGCTGCCTTGCCCTGCTGACAAAGCAGGTGGCAGCGCTAAGGTGTGCTGGCGACTGGAGGTGCGCAGTGAGTTGTCCCAACGACAACTGGACTCGGCACGCACAACAGGTGTTGCCGCTCATGGATTTCAAGGCAAGGAGGAATTCCTGTTGGGTGAGAGTAGTTTGCTGGAATTTTGGTACGCGAATTTCCTCTGCGGATAGCGGGAGGCCGCTTTGGCCCATGCATCGGGGAATCTTTGATTTAGGGGGTGGTGCACCACCTCCCTCTCCACCTGTGCCTCGCTGAGTTGAGCTGTAGCTTGGGTTTTCACTCAACTCCAGGCGACGTCTGGGAGGTGGTGGGGGAGGGGGAGGCCAAGAAGGAGCCGAGCCTGAGCTCTGGGAGTTGGCGGGAGCAGCCTCCTGCTGGCTTCCATGGTCTTGGGAACCACTACCTTGATTTGAGGAGGGGTCAACCCCTTCCTCCTCCTCCTGTTGTCTCTGCAGGCCCTGCCGGACGTGCTTTGGCGGGCGCGTCCGTGATGGATCGCGACTCACGCGACTGGTTTGCCTCCCACCTTCGGCGGGTCAAATCACGGTATGCTTGCTCCTGGGCGGGGTCATCCCGCGCCCTTGAGGCATGTGGAGCGCTGCCTTTTCGCCCTTGTCCTTTGCCCTTGCCACTAGGCCCTTTGCCTCTGTGGCCTTCGGCTTCTGCACCTTTCCCTTTACCTGCACCCATTCTGCCCACTTAAGCAAAACGGCAGTGGCGAGACTAGCCCTTTCCCACTCCGAAAGACAGGCGGGTTTGCTTCGGGCCTTGAACCTGCACCTTAGGCTTAGGCAACGCCACTCTTACAAGCCCTCTTGGGTCGGGGCACTCAGCGAAGCTGATTCGAAATTAACTACATCCTGGTTACAGTCCTTCTATCCATCTGTCTATCTATGTTGTTATGATTATGATTATGATTATGATTATCATGATTATATATATATATATACACGCATATACACACATCGAGAAAGAAGAAACGAAAGGGGGAATCCCAAGGAAGAATATTCAGACCCAAAATGTTGCAGATTTACTAGCCCCTAATCATAGTGTTTTAGAGAGGGTGTTGTGAGGGGGGGGTTAAAGAGAGTGTACTTGGGGGTCGAAGCAGATTTTCGGGTTTCGGGGGTCCAGGGCAGGCTTTGCCTTTGAGACTTCTGGAGCATGCGACACAGAAGGCCCAGCGTGAATCAACCGAACCCTGCCTCGAGGCAACTTCAGATTCCCATGGCTCCCGGCGTGGACTCGCTGAACGTCGGTGTGGCGGTGCCGACAATGCAAGAAGTAGACGCATTGAGCCGCCTTGAACGATTTGGGGGAGACATGGTCGGGTGTGATAGGGCTTGGGACTTTAGAGTCCGGGTGTGGGCCCGTCCCCGTCCTGACAGTTGACCCCGAGGTGGGCGTGGTACTTCACACGGCCTTAGCGGCCAAAGACGGAAAAGAAGCGGCGCGACCTGAAGCCCCAAACTTCATGCCCCAAATTCATGCTCTCAGAGTCAGCCCTTGAAGCCCCAAGCCGTAGGTGTCTACATACTACACCTGTACCCTGAAGGGCTAAAGAAACCGTACATTGAGATCCTGCTTTCTCCCCATGTCAGCTTAGTTCTTCCATATAGACCCCGGGGCTGATAGCCCACATGCCCAAGGTTCATGCCAGAGCGCCTGAAATTTAAGGCTCTTTTGTACATCAGGGGTCGAAAGTCAGAGTTGTCATGATGGTACATCTGATAGACACGCGTAGAGCTTAGAATGTGTAGAAAACTGAGAAAAGTCTTATAGAAACTGTAGCATCAGAACCATCGCCACCAAACTGCTACCAGTGAAGCTAACATGCACATGCCACGAGCAGCACCAATTCAAACTAAAGCACTCCTAACAGCGGAACCAAGCCAGTTGCCATATCATCGCAATACTAGCAGATATAACAGGTGTCAAGCAGGTGTTTTAATAGAAACCTTGGCGATAGTCACGACAGCAATGGTAACCACAACAGGCACACGAAGAAGAAACCCGTCATCCGAAAACAACTAGACCTGCATGGACCGTGAACTTTCGGCTCAGCCTCCGGGCACCCCTTATTTCGCCCCCTCGCAAGTCGAGGCGCCCTCTGAGTGGCCCTGTTGGCCTTTCGGAGCTTTGGATATCATGGGGATGGGAGGTATTCGGTGTAGGTGATGCTACAGTGATAGAGGGGCTTTAACGGGACGTTGAAGGCCTGCAGGCCAACAGCCCCTGACGCAACCCGCGTCTGAGTTCATAGGTTCCGGACTAGACCGAACGAGTTTCAATATGTGAAACGAACATATCGAAAAGTTCTACAACAGAAGCCTGCATGGTTAGCAACACTATTCCTCAGGGCTCCTCGTATGATATGCCACAGATCCTCCTGCAATTGTTCAGGCCTCTCCTAATTAGTACTCGGACCCTTAGATCTGGCACGAGATTGGCTCTTGAGTTTGGATTCTGGAACCGAAAAGACTCATGGTTCCCCTCTTACTAGGTTGTTGTACATCCTCGGCTGTCATTGCCGCAATGACTCTGGCTGCGACTCGTGGAACTCTCATGGTTGCCTCCAGGCCTCAGGTCATCTGCAGGCACCGAGTGTTTAAGCCCCGAGAAGACGGATACGGCGGGAAATCCCGAGAAGCTACACATACAAGTGGGTCTCACAAGCATCAGGGCATTACCAGGATCATCCTCACCACCTGCATCATCATCACTGTTCTTGTCAACATCGCTCATGACCTTCGTCAGAATCAACACCACCATTAGCAGCAGCACCAGCACCATCAGCAAGTGGACTTCCTCAATTGGAATCGCTATCGTCAGCATCGTTATTGTCATCATCAAACTCATTGCCTGGGAAATAGGCTCAGTCTTGTGAGTTGGTATCGTTTAATTATGGTAGAAACGGTGACCGTCGCCGCAGTCGTAGTCGTAGTCGTCGTCGTGGTGGTGGTGTTAGCAGAAGCCGCTTCCATGGTGGTCGCTGCGGCAGTGGCTGCCGCGGTGGTGTAACAGTGTGCTTTGATGCAACAGCAGCACCATCTAAAATCCAGAAGCATCATTAGCATCAGTACCATCCCCCATCCCAAGCGTGCACCGAGCAAAAGCTCTCACTCCGCAGCTAACAGGTGTGCGTTTCCCGTACCTGGTAAACCATGCAGCTTCGAGTGTTAGCTCTTCTGGCCGGGATGCTCGGGCAGCGGCAACACTTGCGCGAGGGCTTGTGTATCAGGCTGTCGTGGGTTATGAACTTGTCTCGGAAGCCGCGTTCTTTGTTCAGTGCTTCATTTTGCTGGCCTCAAGGTCATCACTGCCACAGCCACCGGCAGTAATTATCTATTCCCATGCTCGTGCTATACCAGACCGAAATCATTGACGGCAATGCAGTTGCTATCGGCACAAACACCATCGCCATCGTCATCAACAACAGCGACAGCAACATGGACCCGAAATCACAATCTCGTGGCAACGCAGCATCAACACAAAACAATCTTCGCCCAGCAGCCATCAACAGCTTTTCTAATGAAGCCAGCATCAACAACAGCTTCGCATCATCTTGGCTCCGGTTGTGATTATTCGCTTTTGTTGATGCTGCTGCTGCAGCTGTTGCCGGTGGTTGTTAGACAGCGGTTCATGGTTGTCGGCTGCCGTTGTAGCTGTTGTTCTCGGCGGCTGGTTGCTTACTGCGCGTTCTTCGGTTCACATGTCTCGTTGTGGCTGCCGGTGTTGTCCTTATTGTTGCTGCCTGCACCACGGATCCTTGCTACTGCAGAGTCTTTGCAAGTTGTAGCTTAGGAGGATCCTGACATGGCATCGGTGTAGTTTTGCCGGAGCCGTACCGTCCTAAAAAGGATAGACCGTCAGATTTCATCGTTCTTTGTTTCATCCTCGCAATCATTTCGATGTCTAGCCATTCACAGCGAATTTGTTTTCAGGGTCTCGGAAATGCGGGTCTTGCAGCTTTCAGTCGTAGGTGCCGGACACCGTACCTCACCCTTGAACCAATTCGTGAATGTCAAGCACCACCATGTTACAGCTCTTCGTTCCGTCCGCGGATCATTCTTCTGTCTTCTTGTCAGAGCGTGCCCTAAGCCACTTCCACCCTGGCTTAGGTCTCATTGGCCAGCATCGCAGGCGCCGCAGACAGTGCGCCTGCCAAAGGGATCTTCAGTAACATGGGGGGTGGAATCCTCAGTAGTAAGTATTCACTTATTGTAGTGCCTATGCAACTCTACTACGATACACCCCGAAACCCAATTCTAATGATTAGGGCCCTTGTAATCGTTTCGGTCTTGATCCTGGGCATTAGTTCACGTCATTTGGGCTCGAGAACAAGTGTTGCTTTGGGGTGAGAACGGAGTTTTTGGAGGCAAGGCTTGTCCTAGCTATGGTGGCTGTGATGCTCTTTGGGAGCACAAGACACCCATCCAGAAGTCTTGTCGGGCTTCTTGCTCGAAGCATTCTTCTCTCAACCGCATCACTGATGAATTTATGAAACCGTAGGTTCCATTCCATTTCCAGGGTGTGTTGTACGACCCGAACTGGCCCCAAATCAGTATTCGAGTCCCAGGACTAGAATGCTTCACAATGCATACACGCACAATCAATTCAGCTTCCTAAAGATTGAGCGCTTAATCATAAGCATGTGATGCCTGATCCGTAAATCCATGCTGCCTGCTGGTGCTCTTGAGGCCCGGTGCAAAGCCCATTTCGGAAGGGTTGCTGCGGCTCATAGTCTGTCAAGGGCAGCAAGGACCAGAGGATGAACAGCTGAAAGAACAACGACTATCGGTGACTTCATTAGTTCCGGACGCGTAAAGTTCATCGTGCTTCCACAAGATAGTTTCCAACAGAGACCTCCCGTTTTGACCTTTGTGTCGAGACATCTATCTGTCTATCTATCTATCTGTACATACATACAAACATACATACATACATACATACATACATACATACATACATACATGCACACACACACATGTATGCATAAATAGATAAATAAATAAACAAACAAATATATATATATATAGATGTGTGTGTGTTAATATACATACATATATATATATATATAGATATATCCATCCCTGAAGGTACTCTGTTTTCCAAGATAGCCCATTTCACGACTTTCTGCTGTGTGATTTGCAGACACTACCAGCTTATAGAAAGCCTCTGGTCATCAACACTCCACTGCACCTTTGGGGGGTTGTTGTCGCTGTTGCTGGTGGTGTTTCTGCCGTCACCGTCATCGTCATCATCGTCCGTATTCTTAGTTTGCCCAGTGCTCGTATTCCTATGCTATCAGCATGAGTGCAAAACCAATCCGTTAGGCAGTGAGTAATTAGCCTCGCATTCTTTACTTTGACCTCTACCAAAGCCCGGAAGCCCAAGTCAGGAATTCTGTTGCCCGATTCCAAGCGACCCGACGGCGTAGTAATGGCTCGGCCGCCGCAGATGTCCAGGATTTGAACTCCGAACTTGGAGGTTTTCGGATTTGGGTTGTCGGTTTGGAGTGGTTGGGGCCGTCGGGTCGAGGGACTTGGGGTGGGGTTACGAGGCCCTGCAGAAAAAGAAATCCATACCTGTAACGCCAAATCATGGACCGCAGCATTTATGCTTCGACTCCAAGGGGGGCACCCTTAAGGGTGTCTCCGGTTTTGCCTCGGCGTCACCTGAACAGGAGGCGATGCCGAAGGCAGGGTGCCCTTGGCGAAGAAGGTTTGTGAAAATTCGCAGGTCCCTCTGCAGAGGTTCTGGCAATAGTCAAGCACCCGACTACTTCGGAATCGTGTTATGAAGATTCCGACCTCTGTGTTGGGATTGCAGCTGAGGGTTGAAGGTAATTATCAGCCCGCAAGCGCAAGTCACAACAGCTTCCAAGCAAGGGCCGACCAATTCGCGAAACTTCCGACAAAAGGGCCCTCCATGCCCCGCCGAGGGTTGCCCGCTTTCGAGAGGCATCCACTTTGTGCCAGCCCGTGCTGGCGTTGGCGGAGTGGTTGGGCAGCCTCCCGGCTGAGATGCCTCGAAGAAGGGCGCCTAGAATGGGGGCTCCCAAAGTTTTGTCTGATGTTTCAATGTTGAGGGAGCGGGGTTCAAGTGTTTAAGCTGCTAACTTGGGGCTTAAGAGTTCAGTGTGGAAGGCATTTGCCTGTGCGTAAGGCCCGACAGCTGTCCGATTGGAAAGACTAGACTAAGCATGAATGCATGCCGGAAGATCATGTAGGCAATTTAGCCACGATTAGTATAGTTAAGAGTATAGCTAGTAAAATTGTTGACATGAAATTTCGTACTTTTTCTAGGCTCATGATGGCAGAAGTGGGATTTCGCATTCTTCTTCATGTGGGCGTTCTTATGCTTGAGCTTGACAGTTCTACCAAGAGTGCAAGGGACAAAGCCCCCAACTGCAAGCTTAAAACCATATAGGCCTCAAACGCAAACCAAACCCCAAACCCTGAAGCCCTAAAACTCAGAGCCTTAACGTCCTGTCAAGCCCTGGTCTTGTAGCGGACAAGCTATACAGTTGCGAAGATCTGAGGCGCCCGCTCACTGAATTGGAGATGGTGTGTTCTCATTTGCGCCCCTCGGACCTTTATTCGGGCCTATTACTGACCGGTTGTCTACCTCATTCATCAGGAGTCTATTTGTCAGGTTTTGACAGACTCGACAGTGGCTCTTGAAGGGTTTGTTTACGAGCCTTACAAAACCATCCATAAGGGTTCTTTAGGGTTTTGACATGAGTTCTGTATTGATGTGGGCCTCGGGAGATGAGATTGCTGACAGAATATCCCTAGTATGGCACCTTAGAGTAGATTCCTTAGCAACGACCCGGTCAAAATTTTGTGGAAACTGCATCCCAGGGCTTCTTGATCCAACCCTGAACCGCAAGCCTCAAGCCCGGGCTCCGAAGCACCAAGCCCAAAATCCCAAACTTTCTCTCCAAAGAAACCCCACATAAGCCCTGATAACGCCAGAAACCCCTTACGAAGCCCTTGAATCTCGGAGATTGGGCTCCCAGCCCAAAGATCCTAAACTTTCCTAAACCATGAAGCAATATCTGAGGTTGGGATCATCACTACAGCACTCTTGCGGGTTGTGCTCGTGCGGCCACGGAGGGGCAGCGTGGTTTGGGCTCCTCGTAGCAGCAACTGGAGGTTGCAGAACTTTGGGTCTGTATCTTGAATGTTCAGTGATTCAAAGGCGAACGTCTGATGCTGGGGCCCGAAATAGTGTTTGAAGGTTCATAAGCAGTTGTAGTACATCGGGTTGTGAGTGCTGTGCGTGGGGCCATCATAAGGAGGGGGTAGACACCACATAACTCAACACACCCCTAGCCTAAAGCCTAAATCCGGAGAACCCTTGTGACATGGTTGGTGCTTAGTGAGCGCCTCATTCCAGCTTCCTGCCATAGCAAGGACTTGTTATTTAGTTGTAGTACGGCTTCTTCATCAGGGATGCTGTATTTGCGGCCACATCTCTGACTACAAGCACCCCAAAATTTCAAGACAGCCTCCGAGGGCACAAGTATCTCAAGGCAACAATTTCCCAACTGCTGTACCCTAAAGCTCAGAGACTCAGGTCGCTGCAATCATCTCGGCCGCCCTTTTCTCGCCGGCTTTCGTTTGCGCCCCCAAAGGCGTGGCTGCCGAGAGCGTGGCGCCTTTCAAGGCATGGCAGAAGGCGCGGAAAGGGCCCATGAGCTTGGTCTCGGACCCTGTTAATATCAGTGTCAAAAGCTATTGTTACAATTTTGAGTATTGTGCTGATACTACTTTCGTTCATCCTTATCAGGACCCAATCTTCGCATGGATCTTCGTCGTTGAACCCGAGGTTCTGACAGCTCGGCGTCAGTGCACCCCATCTCAGGTGTGCCCATATGAACGGCCAATGAAGGGTTGCCGATAGTGCAAGTAAAACCCGTTCACCACTCAAACGAATTGCAACAGTAAGCTGATCTAGATCCTGCAAGCGTGTTCTATAGGGTTGGTACGTTGGTGTGCCATGGATTTTGTTGGGAGACACGGCTAATCCTGCTGTGTTTGAACAGCACAAAAAGCGTACAGGATAGAATAGTAAATACTATGGTATGCGGTAAGAAGGCGTGGTACAGTCTAGTAGCATTATTTAGTCCAGTGCAATATTCGACTATGCCATACTATACTATACGATGTTATGCTAGACTGCCCGATGAGTTACTATACCTTAGCTCCAAAGTCTGTGTAGACATCACACACACACATATATATATAATATGTATGTAGCAAAATCCGATATCGCATAGTATAACATAAGTAGATATAGTACAGCATAACATAAGCTTAATTTTAGATGCAACATGTACTGCGCGAATTCTGATCGTATAAAACAGCCTTGGACTAAAAAAGCTCCAGGAGCTGGTCGACCGCTTCGAGCTGCCGACTGCTGGAGTCGCTGGCGCTGTTGCCTGGGCTATCGCAGAAGACTTTTTTTGTTGAAGGAGTGTGGAGTGGGGAAAATTGATGGTTCTCTAAGGTTATCTTCTTTAATAGTAAGGTTTATAAGGGTTCATAAGATGGTCTATCATAGTCATAGTTCTTATGGTCTACGTGGCCGTCTTTAGGTCTTGACAGGAGGGTGGTTCATGGTTTTGTTGTACTCTTTGTGCTGCTGGATGTCTGCAATATTTTACAATGGTGCTACGTGGCTTTGCAACGATTTCATATACAATGGTCTTCAGACATGGCGTGGTAACAGTTGTAGGATGGTTAGAAGGCGTAATGATATACACTACAGGTGAAAATACGCTTTATTCAATGCTCCAACACGCAGCCTTTGAAGGGTTCTGACAGTTTAGCACTATTCGGACAATTAAAAACCGTTTGGTTCTGGGTTTTGTGCAAGTAGGCAAAGCTGCGGTAGAGATGCTGCATAGCTCTTGCGTCACTTACTTTGCAGGGCTTATCGGATTCGGGGGCCCGGAATGGTGTGTAAGGTTTTTCTAGTCCGTAAGTAGTTCGAAGATAACATGCGTCATATGTCAGTCGCTCTTTAAGTTTGGAATCGAAGTTCTTACAGGCCTTCATGGTTTCTATTCCAGACGGTACTGCAAGTTTCTTTCGGGGTTCCATTGGCTTCTAAAGGCCTGGATGCCGTCCCCAGCTTTGCAAGCAGACTACAGTACCTCTGACGACCGCACTTGAGGGTCCTGTTTTGAGGGGCTGGGTCTGCAGGGTGTAGGCTGGGGTCTCAGCTGCAGGGCTTCGGGTTAATGGGTTTCGGGAGGCTCATGAGATGTTTTGAAAATCAAGGGCCTGCTTGTGTTCATGGGCATCTTGTTAAGTCGCCGGATCTTCAAAGCAGGCCTTCAACTGTAAGCCTCACCACAAGCTCACCAAGACCCAACCCTGGCCGCTAGCCCTAACCGAAAGCCTCTGAAATCTTGCACAAGAACAAAATTGTAAAAAGACCATTAAAGACTCTCGACAGCCTGAACCCCGAACCCAACACAGTACCCCTGAAAATCCCACGCTCAGAACTCTGCAAACACACATAGGTCGCCTTCCTGATGCACTTTGGCATGCAGGGCACTGCCCACCAGGACTTCGGCTTCAACTGCCCGGTGCCGGATGTGTTGATGTGAATCTGAAAGCCTTGACAAGGAAGAAGTGAAACCCCAAGCCCATACTGCAGGGGCCTCGACTAACATGTAGTAGAATTGTCCCCTATTGGATGGTATGAAATCTACCAAAACTGAATCTTGCCATTGAGGCCGCTATAATACCCCTGAGGTCTAAGATCTGCAGATCCGAATCTGTTAGGTCGCAGCTTCCAGGGTTTTATTTGCTGAACCTGTTCGTTGTACTTTTCTGCTAGGCTAGGGTGCAGCTCCCGCCGTAGGACGCATCAGCGATGATGCAGTACTATCCGGCATCAGGGACATCTCCTGCGATAGAGCAGAGATTACAAGGAGATCATGTGCCTTGGCAGCCGACGGTCGTGGGTTTTCGCCGCTTGGAGTTAATCTCACAACGTGCATGCCGAAAGGATCAATTGGGGATCCGAAACGTCCTGCTGTGGTGACAATGCCGGCACGTCGGGCTGAGTCGGATGTCACGTAAGCCCTGCATGTCCAAGTTGTTGAAACTTGAAACCGTCGTTTTTCTCGCTCCGTTTCATCATACCTGTCGAAAGCCAGAAGCCGTTTGCCGTCCGGCCACGGCATATACTACAGCCAATGCACGAACCTTGCCGTCACCATTCCGGGTTTCCATGCAGGGCACTGCAAACCCACTTCTTTTATGTTGTCGGCTTGAAGCCTCGGCTTCGCCTAGGAGGCCTTTCCGAAACCTAAGCTTAAAGCAAAACCCGCAAGTCTTAGGAAGCTCGACCTTCGGCTTGTTGAGGCTAGACCGCCCTTGGACTTCAACGGAGTCCGGCAGCAACTTTCGACGGCGGACCTCTCTGCGCCAGGGCAGCCCGGGAATGGGGAAATGCTCTGGTTGAACATAGGACATAGGTGCGTGAATGGTTACCAACAGTATTTCTGAGAGTTGGAATAGAACGTACTCCAGAATCCTATTCTATTCCCTAAGGCCCCTATCATTACGATATTGCAGAATATCGTGGAAACATAGTTTCATAGATTGCAGCTGTTTTGTTCGATTGAAAGCCTTGGGCTTCAGGGATCAGGGTGTAGGGGAATGTAGGGGAATCGGGTAAGGATCCTTAGTGCCGCAAGCCTACACCCCACATCAACAACCCCAAAACCTTAAGCACGCAGGAAGCAGAACTATATCGACAAGCACAAAACAGATTCGAACGAGCACTATGTCAAAGCCCGCCTTTCCTGGCAGGAGAAGACGTAGTAACTGTTGTAGTAGTCGCATTGTTAGTCGTAGTAATAGTAGTAGGAGTAGTAGTTAGTCGTAGTAGTAGTAGTAGTAGTAGTTGTTGTTGTTGTTGTTGTAGTTGTAGTTGTAGTTGTAGTTGTTGTTGTTGTTGTACCCTCACTAGTACTAGTACTAGCACTAGTACTAGTACTAGTACTATCGTACTCGTGCTAGTACTAGTACTAGTACTAGTACTAGTACTAGTACTACTACTACTACTACTACTACTACTACTACTACTACTACTCGTCGTACTCGTACTAGTACGAGTACGAGTACTAGTAGTAGCACGTACCAGTACTAATACTAGTCGTGGTCGTCTCAGCAGCAGTAGCGTTATCTGCAGTACGTCGACGACTACTAACTACTAACTACTTACATCTCCTCCTGCTGCTGCCAACATTACGAGGTAACCACCACAAAACAAAAACATGTTTGCATATACAGCAGCCGGCATGTTTGCATAGTCGTAGGTAAGGTCCCGCTCAAGTGTTCGTGTTCGTGAGCTCTGGGAGTTTGTTTTGGCCTTGTTTGCGCAGGCACGGCCAAAGTTATCCTCATTATGCCGAGCAGCCAAGCGTTGAGAAGTACGCCACTGGCTTGCAATTAGTTGGTCTGAAGAGACACCATAGTACGATACAGTACATTGTCCAAACACCGTCTAATGTAGTGGCGCAGCATGCCACAGTAATCCACGGTGTTGGCAGCTTGCGGTTTACAGGGGCAGTATCTTCTGCACTTTATGCTGGGGATGGGTCGTGGACGTGAGTCTTGCTGATTGGAGGCTGATAGAAATTACGAGCTATCTACGAGCTTTACGGCTCTTGCAGTGGATTTGTTGTTGGGAGTCTTTCCAGGCCCAGCTTACACGGACAGCCTTACACACGATGTGTAATCGAAACAGAACGATTAGAACTAGCAGCATCACCACGGTATATTTCGGATGTTGCAACGACGACGCCGATGATGACGACCACCACCATGGCGAAGACGACCACGACGACGGGCATCAGCGTTTCTTTGCTTTCGCTTCGCCGAACAGATTAGGTAACAGCAAGCTAAGCAACATAATCAAAGATCACAAGACCCTACCCAAAAGTCTGAAGTTTCTTCCACAGGCCATGCGTTGAAAACACAGGCATTTAGAACGAGCCCCTACCGACGAGATCGGTCCCTCGCCTTTGCTTCCTTCGTTGATGGCTTTCTGAGTCCTCAAGACTCAACCCCGAAAACATCCACCGGAAGGTTTTGAATCCGGAGCCCCGCAAGCGTAAACCCTTCGAATCCCAAGATGTGTGAGGTCTTCGGTGAAGTCCCAAACCCCCAAAGCCAAAAGGCCTTGTGCGATGCAGAAACTTGACACACCGGGCTCACACCGGATGCCCAAAGAAGACCGAACCCAGTGAACTCCAGCCCCGGACGTGCTACAAGCAAGCCTGAGGCAGAGCAAGTTCCAACGCAGGAGTGGGATGTACGGGGAAGGAGAGAGGTCAGGCAATGCGTCGTCTTGTAGAGTCTGGAGTTGATGTTGTTCTTCGTGCTTCTGTGGTGTTGGGAGTGTTCCAGCCATTAGGTTTACCAAAGGCTGACAAGAAAAAGGAACTCGCTTCGCGTTCTTTTGGTTTTTCAGGTTGGGACATGTTTCCGCGAGATCTAAACTGGTCACCGTCGCACTGACACTGCCAGGCGGCAGAACTCAGAATCCCAAAAGCCCCAGAGAAGAAGCAACACCTGAACAGGACCTACCTGCGCAAAAGCAGTTGGCATCTCCTCAGGCGCATCCTTGGCAGTGTTGCTTCAGATTTCATGGCACCGTAGGAACAGTCTTTTGAGGTCCTCAGACTAATTCGTTCTACATGCGGATCTTGGGTTGCGGATTTGAGGATTTCGGATGTAGGCTCGCGGTGGGAAAGAGTGGAGTAGAACAGAAGATGCACCCTGAACCGACTTGCGAGACTCTGCCGTTGTACCGACTTGACAGCCACAAACCACAGGATGCAAAACGACTCGGCATATTTCTTCGTCCGGACATCTGCGATTTAGGATGCTGGACTTTGGAGGTTGGGCGCGGCATGTAGGCCTACTCATGATGATAGCCGCTTCTTCGCATTTCCACGGGCGAACATGTGCTATGAACTTGACCCGCAAGTGGAGACCCATTCAAGACCAGAAGATTCGGGCAAAGGCCGATATCCAAATCCACATCCTGACTCGCTGCATCTCCATCCGGTCTTCTTGAATACTGACATGCAGGCAACGCACAGTCCCGGCTTTACATCCAGAAGACAGCCGTAACTCTCTACTTCCGTTGAGCCGACGGGCCATAGCCATAAACTGAGACAGAACGGAACTGAAGCCATCCAGAATCCCGCCCGGACTGAAGCCTGGAGCTGCAAGTCATGCTTGAGGCCCCAGCCTCCCTGCAGCCGACGCCCGCGAGACAAGCGGTCGCTGGGCAGGATCGGAGTTCGATGTCGTTGCTGTTGTGCCTGCTGCTGCTGTTGTGCCTGCTGCTGCTGCTGCTGCTGTTGTTGTTGTTGTTGTTGCCGTTGCTGTTGCTGTTGCTGTGGCTGGTGGCTGGTGGCTGATGGCTGTGGCTCAGTGTTTGTTGGCGTGTAATCCGGTCCATGCTGGTGTTCTCGGTACCGGGAAGACATCTGAAGGCTGACGATTGATTGCCTGAGTGACAATTGTGAGGCCTAGAAGCGTGCTCTCTCCCGTGTTTGCGCCGGAAGGTTGCCACAGGCTGAATTGGAATCAGGGCTCTGGAAAGAAAAACAAAACATCACAGCCCTACGTCATTGGGCATAGTGCTTGTTGGTGCCTCAAGTAATTGAAAAGATGCATTTGAGATTTGTGTCCCTGTTATGACTGAACCGAGCCCAAACTCTGCGAGAATCCGTCGGCATGGTGAATTTGATAAAGTTAGATGCGGTTTAGCATAATCGCACGTAGTCGGAATTGCCTCAAGAGTATGTTGAGGAGAGACGAGGTTTCTTGTCTTCGTCTGGGTTGCTTGTTGGCACGAGTGCCATACGTTTCGTGGAGACCCCAGAGAGGGGATTTCCGTTGTTAGCTACCGGACTACCCCTGACAGAAGTTGAGGTGACCAAGCGCCAGCATCTAAGCTACACCGAGGCCCGACATGTCTGGACTGGGGCTTGGGGTGTTGGAGATTGTTGAGGGTGGCTCCCCTTCTCATGGGCCAGAAGTTTGGGAGGTCGGTTTCATAGATTGCCAGATGCGCTTCTCGTTACACCATCCTGCCGGTGCCTGACCAAGCCAACCCCCAAAGACTCAAGACCTTCAGCGCTGAATCTTGAACCCAAAACCCTTAAGCCCTATGGCGCGAACTGCAGAATTGCTCCAGCACTCTGCTCTTGAAGATAGGACCCACACGAAAGCTAACAAGCAACCCCAAGCCACCTGCAGAAATGGAACCCTTCACCCTGAGATACCCAAGGCCTCGTTGCACTCCAAGTAATGCTTGAGGGGCTGGGCACGAAGGTGCACCGAGAGCTAACGGCTGAGACGACGAAGCTGCGAGCGTCAGCGGACTTGCTGGCGTCTCTGGAGGCCTTCAGAGGAGATAGTCTCCGAGCTGGTTTTGCCTGTGGTATTTTTTCCTACATTCTATGGACCTTGGGGTTCACCTTGTCAGAAGACTGAGCTTAGGGTAGGTTTAGGGACCATCACTGATGGGGTCCTCTTTCTTGGGCTCGTTCTTCCGGATGCGAGCCGAGCGCGAAGCAGAAGGCGCACACGCATTGCAAGCTCGAAGCCGAGTCCTAAAAAAAATGAGGGCCTCGGCTTTAAGAAGGCTCGAACCAACCCCAGGCAGACTGCTGTGATGCTCACAGCTGCTGCACGCTGGGCTCCTTGCAAACTTGACGTGCATTGATTGAATTTTACACAAACCGAAGAGCCTTCAAGCAAAAAGTAAATCCTCAACCTCTCAAGATCCGCAAGCCTACATCCCCTACACCCTAACCACTGAAGCCATAAGCCCCGAAACCTTTGAACAATTCTCGAAGACTCGAAAGTCCCAAAGCCCTTTAGTCTTATAGATCCTAAAACCCCAAGGCCTTCAACACTAGAGATAGAGGCCTAAACCCGGAAAAGAAGCCCTAGACTCTAAGCCCCGGAGAAACCCTTAAGCCCCGAAGTTGCCCAGGCGGATCTCCAGAGTGCAAAGGTCCAAAGTGACCTCAAGGACTGGACTTCGGCGATGCATGCTTCTTGAGTACTGTCGTTTCCTGAACTAAGCGGAGTTGAAGGATTCCTGCATGGGCTACTGGGTTACTACTGCGAGGGCTACTTATCAACTTAGTGAGGAGTTTCAAACTTGTGTTTTGCATTTGTTGGGCGTTTGAGAACATGGCGATTCCAACGCGGAACATGCAGAGGATCGGATTTCGTACACCCCAAGACTCGGACTTTGATGCCGGTACGACTGCTGTGACGGTTTCAATCGGTGTTCAACGCATCTGGCACTCCAAGCGCGAACAAGCCACAACAAGATGTGTTCGACATTGTCGCTTTCCGACAAACATCCCACAACACTAGTCAACCTCATATAAGCCTCTAAACCATACCCCTTGGAACCCTAGAAACTCTATACCCTACGGCCTCGGCTGTGAGTGAGCCATGAGCATCAAAGCAAACTTGCATCGACGCGAGCCCTGTCTAACACAACATGGCACGATCAAATCAAAGGTAGCCGCTGGGCTCGCCGAGTTTAAGTTGAAGAAATGGGACCAACGAACAAGATCCGCTTGGTTTCAAGGAACCCCGAACCAAAGCCGAACCAGCTTCAACAGGAAGCAGCGGCCATCTCAGAGAGCTTTCAAAGCTCACAAGCAGGCAGCTACTTGTTGGAGACTGTTGTTGCTTTAGCAGGGGCCGGACGGCTCGCAGGCACTGGGTGTATTGCTGAAGCATTAGGGTCGAAGGATTCCAAGCCAGTAAACATGGCCCAGTAGGTCGTTGAGCGTTCATTTTCGAAGGCAACGCTCTGCACGACCTGATCCTCGTTGCATTTGGGGCTCTTATGGGAGCAGTCGCCTGGAAGAGAAAAGCCCTCTTCTTCAGACTGTATGCTGCGCAGGGCGAATCACGGGGTTCCACAATCGGCGTTTTTTGGGGTTTTTGTTGGTGGCGTATACGAGTCGCTTTTTCAGCATAAGGTCTTCGGGCCCACAACCGCTTGTTCAATACTGTGTTCGGGCGCAGCTCTATACTTTACACCCCCTTCTGAAGGAGTATGTTTTTGGATGTAATGCAACGTCTCTTCATCGCTAACCTACATCTTACACCGAGGCAGAAACCTCAAGCCCCAATCAAAGCCCAAAGTGAAGCTGCTGTTCAGGACAAATCCAAAGCTCTCACACGCCCCCCCCCCCCCCCCCNNGCCCCCCCCCCCCCCACCGCACACTTGTAGGTTGTATTTTGTGTGTTGATTTCGACAGTTAAGTGTGAAACGAAGACTGAGGAACGAGTTGCCGAGGCCAGTAGTTGAAATTAATTGGCAGGTCTTGGCAGCTGCAACGGCTCGACTCAGCACAAGTTGCTGAAAGAAGTCACACTGGGCTTCTACATGTTTAAAATGGAAGAGAATCTTGTTTTCGAATGCTCTCCCTGGCATTACCCAGCCCGGAAACTTCGATCCAAAGCCGTGGTCCCCGAGCTCAGAAGCCCACATCTGGAGGGCTTAGGTGTTCAGAGGATTCACAGGTTGCGAATTCGAATCCGGTAAGCAACGCATGAGCCCGCCGTAAAGAGCTGACACAACACCGTTTTACGGCCCTGTGAAAGAGGTGTTGGGAAGTGAACCATAAACCATGAAGCCAGAACCAAAGTCTTCAGCAGACACCAGGCCTCACGGCGTCGCGAGAGCTTTGCTTTATGTTCTGTGGCATCTGGAATGGAAGGGCTTTATCAAGATTGTACTCGCTTTCTGATAGACGCTCTATGCAGCTAGGTCCTGCATAGAATGCCCAAGTCGTAGGCTACGCCCTGGCCACAAAACATCCCAAAATCGCGTACCCGAACACCAGAATCCCATGCACGACCGTATCCAAGGCCGGCCTTTGTATGCAGCGAGCAACCTCGGGGAGCGAGTTCCCGGAGCCGATTGTAGAGAGTCGGGTTTTGGGCGTCATATGTCGGAACCTAAGAGGACTCGTGCTGAGAAGCCTCAGAGGCACCAGTTTTGTTTGGGGGCGGGGCTTAAGCAAGCTAGTGTTTGGAAGCCCGATTCGTTCCGGGAAGGGGTGCGAGGCTTTGGGAGATTGGTTCGCGCAATTTCAAGTTCAGGCTTGGGAACGTTCGCAAGCTTGAAGCCCAAGTCACCCTACGACCCTGCGTGATAATGCTTTATATAGTCCCGAAGTATTATTTCTCGAATTTTAGTGCCGCAAGAACCCTCGTCTAATCATGAAGGCCCTATGCTAGTTCTGATTGTGCCAATCATTTGCTTGAATCGTAGAGTTTACTGCCAGATGAGGCTTGACAATGAAATGTTGAGCACCAAGGCCTTATGCTGAACCAACAAATCCCGTGCCGATGTTCCAGAAGCAGCCTGTGTTGACTTCTGTTGCCAGCATAAGGACAGGGAACGGTTCCCCATTCACCATTCAAACAGAGCCCTTATAACGCGACTCAAATGGCTCCAGTAAGCAGAAGCCATTTCCAGACACTTTGTCGCCCCAAGCTCAGATGGACATGCCTTTGCTCAGCGGGCTGCCAAATCTTGTTGCATAGCAGCATGCCATGAATCTGTGTTCTTGTGTATTCTGACATTATTATATGAATATGAGGTAGTATAATGACAATGTGTTTTGAATATGTATGTGCGTGCATGTTATGGTCATGTGCGCAGCCTTGTTCTGTGCAGCACTGACATTCTGCATGGCTGCAGGCTCCAAGCCCGGCCCAAGCCCTAACTCCGTGACTCGGAGGAGGCACCTCCTATGGCCGCAGGGGCCGCCGGCTTGGTATTCTCAGCCGCGGCAGTCCAACAGCAAGAGGTGTGTGAAGGGGTTTCATGTTTTACTTTGTATGAACAGGTTTCGCGGTGTCATGCGTGTTCCTGGATTCAAGAAGCCGGGTCCTTCGTGCGGGGTCCAGATTCTAGTGACTCTAGTGTTTTTTATTGTCGGGATCTGTATTGTGAAGAACTCCATAGTGTTGCCACATGTTGCCACCCTGTTTGGACCTCTGCAAAAAAGGACCGCTGATCAAGAGAAGACAAGCTGACAAGCTCAGGTATGGAGCTCTGCCTCTCCGGCACTGAGCTTCGCCCCACTGAATCCGGAGACAGCCCCAAGCCCAGGGGGTGGGAGAAGCTGGGCGGCGTGGGATGAAGGGTCTTCTGTGCCTTAAGGGCTTCTAAGATTTAGGGTCTAGGGTGGCTGCTTAGGGGAAGCAACCCGGAATAGGCCAGCAAGATGCCGGATGCCGGCAAAGGCTGGGCAGCTCTGGTGCAACACTCTCTTTGTAGTTGTAGTTGTTCTGAATCTCTCGGTGTCGGCGAGTTGAGCTGATTCTATCCGTTTCTGCATGACCTTCTTTTCGCATGTAGGCGCGTCGCACGCAAAAGCGCCGAGGTCTCCTCCACTATGCCCGTCGCTACAGCACTGCAGCTGGGATTGGCAAGCAGTCAAACCGGGAAGAAACACGAAGCCCTACGGCTAAGGCTAAGGGCTCTGGTTCGCTTCGGTTTGAGGGTTTGGGGCCAGTTACTTTTGAGGGGTCTCACTGCGGTTCCTAGAGCCAAAACCTCGAAGTTGGAACTTTCCCAAGAAGCTGATCCCTCCGCTTCGAGCTCAGAGACAAGCCCAAGAAGCCTTAGACGAAGACGAGCCAGTCCAGACGACAAACCGTCTCCACACTCTGTAACAGCTGGATAGTTATGGATATGGTATGATATGGTACAATTATATGCGGCCCCTTACCCCGATGCAGCTTGCCTGAACATACAAAGCACCGCACGAAACAATCCGAAAGTCCATGAGAGAAGTTTCAAGGCCACAAGGTGTGGGTCCCCGGGATCTAGAAGGACAGAAGCATTTCGATCGTGCCGCCGTCTCCCTCACCCTGAGCCTCGAAGCATGAACACCTCCAAGCTGGCGGCCAATTCGGACTCAGCAGAATGAAGTAACGTGAACCCTAAACCGACAAATGCAAACCCCAACTCCTTCATCAAGCCTGAAGCCTAGAACCCCAATCCAGAGCCTGAAACCCAAAACAGTATCCACCTCTTCGGGTAGAGGCAGCAGTCGGAGCCGGCGCCGAGCGAGCGACCTCATCGAGCTGCAGCCGGGGGCTGAGGAGCTGTGGGGTTGGGAACAGCCGTCGGTACCAAGGAAGCACGCAAACAAGCAGTATTGGAGCCTACCCTTTCAAACTTCAGAAGGGTAGTATCACGCTTTGTTGCTTACTTGTCTCGGAAACCATGCTTGGAGTGCTGTTGACGGCTTTCGGTTGGTTGTGAGCGTTCGCGTGCGGCTTGATTGGTATGAGACTCGGGCTCTGGAGCAGGTTGTTCCATGAGCCTAGAACTATCAGGTCCATTCCTATACTAGTTGTGCATGTCAGTGATGAAGGGTTGTCTTCGCTGCATTGATCTCAGGTTTCGGGTCTGGTAGCCCGGATGTTCCGGAGGTGGTTGCTTTGTCGTGCTTCGAGGGTGTTAGGTTCATTGGGCTCTGTGTAAAGTTGTTAGGACTAGCGGCTGAAAACTCGGGCCGTTAACTTTAGAATTTATGTGGGATCCCATGCGTGCACGCAACTTGGCGTGGCAGTTCTGACGGTTCCACAGTGTTTGCACGGAGGCAAAGGGCGTTCGGCATTCACAAGGAGGCCCAATGTATGTTTCTGATACCGGTCTATGTCTTTGTAGAAACCGGTGTTCCTTGCAGTTACACAGCTACACTACGGCTTCGGAACCCACACCTCAGCAGCTGAAGATCCTTGGTAGCATATCCTGGCCAAGCATCGCCCCACTGCAGGGATCTTCGGGATTTGACGAGTGCCGTCCCGAACGGTTTCAATGGAGCCACAAGCCCCAAACCCAAGCCTGAACTCAACTCCTGTCTCCAGACCCCCGGAGCCCAAACAGTACCTTTCAAGACTGGACTTCCTAATCTCTTAGCCGCTAAATTCATGCTTTGGCATTAACGCCTGACATTCAAGCCCGAGCGCCCTCGGTAAAGTTCGGAATGGCCCCGGAGACTCCGAAGTATGGTCGTCGTGCCCAGAGCCGCTGTGCGATATGAAGCTGCAACAAACGGCTAGATTATTCGATGGTTAGCCTGGCAAAGTAGTCCTCCAAGGCATGATGCCAAGCTATTGAGGCGCTATGTTAAGCCTTAGCGACCTGAAACACAGAAGATGCCCAAGTGAATGGTACCGCAGCTCAGGCCGATCCCGAAAACTTGAGTCAACGTACAAACCTGTGCAAGAAAAAGAGCCATACGGAAACGCTGTCAACCCAGGTTCCGCGGCCGCAGCCCACCAGCTTCTCCACCCGGGTCCCGACCATCTCGACCCGGCCGTCGCTGCAACCTGGACACGATGGGGGGGGGGGGAGTTGAGGGCTGCGGGTGCGGAGTTTAGAGCTTATGGGGCTCATGGACTTATGGGGTTCAGGTCTCAGAAAGCTTTAGTTGGTATATATCAAGCATGAAGGTCTGAATACTTTGTAACCATATCTCCTCAGGTGTTTCTACTGCCTATATATACGCCAATCCGCTAGTACAAAAAACCCTCTTCAAACACATTCAGGTCCAAAGTCCAAGCCTAAGAAAAATTCTATAGGAGGATTCACAGAGCTTTCTGACATCCTAGGGCCCCAGTTATGACAACCGTCTTCTGACATCTTAAGAGCGCCCTCTTCGCTATTGCTATTACTTATTCCACTTGATCATCATTATTGTCAGTATTACTCCTTCCTGAATCATTTCCATTATGATCATTCTTGCCATTATAATCTACTCCTTCTTTCTTGTCCTTTGAAGGAAGAGCGAGAGCCCCCCCAGTCTCGGCAGAGCGACTTGAGGTTGGTGCGAACCAACAGTCCGGCGAGGGTGCCCGTCGAGCAGAAGGCCGGCGCTTGGGGGCGGGGGGGCCTAAATCATTAAATTGAGTTATTCTTGATTTACTCTTGCATTACTGTTGAATTATTCTTGAATTATTGTTTTGTTGTTTTTTGTATGTTATTGTTTAGTATATTGTTATTATCATTACTGTTTTTGTATTTACTGCCTTTGTTTTGTTTCTTGTCACCCTAGTCTAGAGGTGCTGGAGCTTTAGCGTTTCGGGGGTTGGGGCATTTGTTTGGGGCTTCTAAGCGGCTTCTATTCTAGAGAATTTGAAATGCAAGATCGACAGGGTCCTGTGATAAGGATCCTGCTATTTATGTTCCACATGTCCTTTGGATGACCAGTGGAACCCAGAAATAATTTGAGGCGTGGTCTTCAATTCAGGGGAACGTGAGTTGGGTCCTGGATTTTTAACGGGGAGGCCAACTCTAGAGCCATCGAACGCTGTATAATTTTGGCCTTTACTCAGGAAGGCCATCACAATTTGCGGTGTAGTCTTTCACTACGAGCCTTCGGAGTTTCCTGGCCCGGGAATTCAAGGCGCAAGTGCGAGGAGTTGGCCCTTTCTCTGAATCATGAGCCTGATTTGTTGACACGATCTGTTTGGTTTAAATTGACCTCTCATAGCACAACACAGGGAGCAACATGAGCAGTGCAAGGCACGGGTATATTGCATGAAGAAGTAGATGGACCACATGGACTGCCTTGAAGATGCATTGACTTTCTCGCTCGGGGTTGAAACCGTAAGAGAAGGATTTAGGGTTTGGACATGTTCAATCTTTTCCGGTTACATTGTGTCCTCATCCTCAGCTACTGAAGATGGTTTCGTGCCTGGCAAACAAGCCTGAGTTCAACAA